ATACAAAGTAGCAAACATAGATCAGGGAGACGACAATCACCTAAATATGAGCTGATGGAGTGGGGACCGCCTGCGGACAGTATCTCAATGGAGGACTTGAGACCAGGGGAGAGAGCGACCCGGTCACACTTCCGAACCCGCTCACCCCACTGAAACGGAGGTGACGGGAGATCGGGGTCAGACACCCAGATCCATCTCTTCTTCCACCCCTTGCCTGAAGCGGGGTAACCCGACCGAAACAATTTGCTCACTGACCTCTGGGAGACAGAGGTGAAAAAGCTAGAAGCACGCCACTGGAAACAGCTGAAAAACAAATCAATCGTCGGTGTGAGGCCCACACCCTCACATCGCGACACGAAAGCTGCAACGAACATGTGAGCCGCCGGAGCCAATTGACCCGGTGCCACACCCAAGAAGTGAAGGAACCGAATCAGGAAGGGATGCAGTGGCACAGCCATCCCTAACTCTAGAGAGCGGATATGGACCCCGAAATATGGGGTTGGTGGATTGCTCAATATGTCAGTAACTCCCGGAGTTTCCAACAAACAATTATTACCAATCAAACCACATGCCATGATAAGGTCATCCTCCGTGACGCGAGAAGGGAGACCCGGTATTCCGCTGCTATCAAGGTCCCACCAGGAATCCAGGTCTACCCGAGTATCGGAATCATCATCTGAGTCTGGTACGTTCACAGGTCAGATGCATGCCCTATCTGGAACATTGAGAGGTCGTCCCTCAGAAGTAGCAACCCGCCTAGCTGGAGCCAACTCAGGGAGAGCATCAGCTTGCCGCCCAGTAGTAGCACCTGCATGCATACGGGGCCGAGGGCCGTGGCTGACCCGCATGGGTCTCGCAGCTGCCCCACGCTCTACTTCGATGTCAGCCGATAATCCCAAAGCCACATGACCGTTATTTTCATAAGCAGGGTGCCCATCGCCTTGCATTTTTCACACTGGGAAGAGAAGACCGGATCTACAAAAAAGAAAAAAAAAGCGTGAGATAAGTTCAATTTCCAAGAATTTTCACCAAGGGATGCGGGATGAAGATCCTGGGAGACAAACTTCGGAGGTCCAATTCCCCCGGAACCCGGTCACCCGCACGTTAGCATGAATAATAGGGTGGCCTCCGGATTCTAGAAACCGCGCCAGCCAAGCATGGGGGACCAGACCTATCGGCCAGACCCGCCGGACTGCAGGGGCGGTGTCGCAGGCGGCGAGTGATGCAGGACAAGCATTGGGCGCGGCAGGGGCCGGCCTATGGAATCGGTGAACCACACACGACGTCCAACCAAATTGACAGCTAAGCCGGCTAAAAAGGGGACGGTGCCGCCCAAATTGGACCCGGAGGACCACTTGGCCGCTCGGCTTCCTAGCCAACGACGGCTGGCAGCGCCCGGCCTGAGAGCGCCTGGTCGCCCGCCTGCCTGGTCTCCAGCCTCCTGGGACGGTGCCGCCCAAATTGGACCCGGAGGACGACTTGGCCGCTCGGCTTCTTAGCCAACGACGGCTGGCAGCGCCCGGCCTGAGGGCACCTGGTCGCCCGCCCGCCTGGCCACCAGTGTAACACCCCGGGGCCCCACAAGGACCCGAGGTAGTTACTCTAGACCTCTAGTACTGTCCCCACAAACCACCACGAGCCTTTACCGCGCACTTTGTCCTCACTCATGCACGCCCTGAGAAACTTCCCAGGGGGTCACCCATCCCAAGACTACTCCCGTGCAAGCACGCTTAACTTTGGAGTTCTTGGGTGATGAGCTCCCTTAAAAGGAGATGCACCTCTGTTGGTATGAGTAGTACTATTAATCCTCTTAAATTAATCCCGGGTATTACAACCAGCCTCCGGGGAGGCCGCTCATCCCTGAAGATTGCGCCGGCCACAACAAGATCCAAGACCCGTCGGCCAATTTCGCTAGACGCCTGGACTGCCGGGGACGTCGGCGACCGGCGGGTGGCGCGAGACAGCCGCTTGGCGCAGCAGAGGCCGACCCAAGAGCCGCCACGAGGGAAACAGCGGTCAACCCGGTCAGCCGGTTGACTGCGGCACTGCGCGACGCGAGGGAGACGGATGCGAGGAAGACGGACGCAGGAGAGAGAGGAAAGAGAAGAAAGGAAAGAAAAAAGAAAGGAAAGAAAAAAGAAAGGAAAGAAAAGAAAAGGAAAGAAAAAAGAAGGAAAGAAAAGAAAAGGAAAGAAAAGAAAAGGAAGGAAAAATAAAATAAAGTCCAAAAATAATTTATGCAGTAATAAAAATGAATTTCAGGGATTTTTTGAAGCTGACCTGGATCCTGAAGTCTAGGAGAAAGCTTGCTGCTGGAGTGCTAGAACGCTGAGGGAATTAATTTGGGGCCTTTTAAAGTTGGGTGCCTTATTCGAAATTGGAAATCTCCATAAATTGTGGGATTGACAGAATCCACAATTATGGCTCCCTGATATGTGAATATTTTTTAATGGGCAGCTGACCTGAACTACTCCCTCTTAGCCGAGTCTACTACTCGACTAAGGGAGTGGGGGACTCGTGATGGGGTTATGGGACTAGGCCCAGAGCCTAATCGGCCCAGGCCCCGAACTTGGACCAGCGGGCCCAAGCCCAACAACCTAGAGCTCGAGTCGGCCCAACCAGGGCAATCAAGGGTTGAAGCCCAAGAGAACCTGTCGACCAGCCCAGTGGGGAGCCTGCCTTCCAGCCCAGTGGGGAGCCCGCCTTCCAGCCCAACCAGGAGCCTGCCGACCACCAGCCCAACTAGGAGCCTGCGGTCCAACCTACCCGGGAGCCTGCCTTCCAGCCCAGTGGGGAGCCTACCTTCCGGCCTAGCCAGGAGCCTGCCGACCACCAGCCCAGCTGGGAGCTTGCGGTCCAGCCCAACTGGAAGCCTGCGGTCCAGCCTACCCGGGAGCCTGCCTTCCAGCATACCCGGGAGCCTGCCTCCAGCCCGGTCAGAAGCCTCCCTCCAGCCTAGCGGGAAGCGCACCGTCTAGTCCAGCAGGAGGGAGCTCAAGCGTCCAGCCTGCCAGCCAGGCTGACCTGCCAGCCAGGCTGACCTGCCAGCCAGGAAGAGTAACGACCAACAATTAATGCGCGACTTAATTATGTGTTTAATTCTGTATTAATGTTGTAATTAATTTAGTCATTATTATGTTCGGCAGTTACCATTTGTAATCGCCTATAAAAGGCAATTCGAATTTCAAATACAGATATGCTATTTCTGCCTAACTTTCCATATTCGTACTTTCCTGATTCTTGCTTGAGTGTCGTACGTAGCTTTCCTAAAAGCCTACGAGCGTCCTATTTTGGACCAACATAGTGAATGGGTGTAATCTGTAAAGTGTAATTCCAATACAATAATGTGCAATTGTAACTTCCTAAACTGCAAAATTGGATTATAAATGTGCATTGTTTTTCATATTGTAGAAAGCAGGGAAACAAGGTTGTAGGCTAGTAAGAAAGACAAGGGAAAGAGAACAATGGACTCAACTGAGAATGAATCCGAAGAGAATAGAGTCAAGAGACAGAAGAAATGAGCAAGAGAAGAAGATAGTGATGGTGATTTTGAGATTCAACAAAAGGTTGTTGGTGTTGTTACTGAGGTGGTTTCAAAGAAAAAAAAGTATAAAACAAATCAAATCTGGCTATAGGAGTATACAGACCAGATCATCACCTCATGTGTTAGTGAAATTCCAAGTAAGTTAGGATTTCGGGTGGTGGACGTACAGCTTTGACCCAAGAATGTGCTCATTAGTGCTTCCCAGGGGTACTAATGTGCATATGACAGAGGACGATGTAGCAAGAGTGTTGGGGTTTCCTTTGGGAGAGAAAACGATTGTCCAGAAGAAGAAAAATGAAGATTGTGCATTGTTGAATGAATGGAGAGCAATATTCGACAAAGAGGAAACCAAGATTAGCCCATCGGATGTTAGTGCGGCCATGCTTAGCAAAACTCATGGTGGTGATTGGTTTAAGAGGCATTTCATTGTTCTGATTGTGTCTGTGTTACTTGATAGCAGCCAGAATGGCTACGTGAACCCAATAATAATGAATCAATTGGAATACGTTGACAAGATAAGTGAACTAAATTGATGTGATCATGTTCTTAATTGTTTAATTGAGAACAAGGTTTCATGGGATAAGAAGAAAGAAAAGGTTTTTACTGGTCCATTGCTGTTTTTAATAGTAAGTTCAAAAAATTAAATAGGTTTATAGAGTTTTAACATTCATTAATAATAATTTGTACATTATATTAACATACATTTGTTGTGCAGCTGCTTTATGTCGACCGCGTTGTTTTAGACAAACACAAAGTTGGGAGAACTTGCCAATTTTAAAAGGATGGAACAGAAAACAACTGAGAGATAGAGAAAACAACTGGGAGGCAGTTCTCAAATGAGTGATTTGAATTCAGAAAAACAGAAACATGGGAAAAGTGCAATCGAACAAACAACGTTTGAGCAATCTAGTGCTAGTGGAATTGTAGAGGTATGACTTAAATATAGCTCATTTTAAGTTATGAAATTCATCTTTGGTTCAAAAAATGCATGTTTCAGAATTTAAATATTTAGCATATGTTTAGTCACATGTGTGCACATGACAGATACTTGGAATTGGTCAATATTTACATGAATTTGTGATCAAATTTGCGGAGAAAACCAAGCTGCTGGCATCAACTGTGGTTGATGTTATCAACATGTGTGAATAAGCTCCAAGAAGCTTAATTGAATCTGAAAAGCACCAAAAAATGCAAGAAGCTGCAGAACTTCTCATTGGTCTAGGAAAGAAGAAAACGGTGGAGGAGGGTGGAGAAAATACAATTGTTAGAAGTAGTGCGGAGATAGAAGACCGGCGATGCTGCTTTTTGGGCAGAAACTATTAGTGCAGTTGAGAGGGTAGAAATAGCAAATATGAAAAAGACTTCGTACGCAAAGGAATGGAAGAGTTGCCTTCTTTTTCAATTGGACTGACACAAGAAAAAACAATTCAATGGAGCAGCATAATAGAATTGTGCGCCGAGATTGATAGAGAAGTAAATGATCATATGGTATAGATACAAAAACTAACTTGTATTATACTTACTGTGTTATATAAACAGTGCCTAATTTTAATTTTTTTGTAAAGGTTGAAGGAGAGAGTAATCTCAGAAGTGACATAAATATGGTGACAGAAGCCGTTGTTGAGGTAACTTAACTTAACAAATATGATGACAATACATTGTGCATGGTGTATCCTAATTTGAGCATATTTTAGAATTATTGTAAAAAATCTCATATTATTAATTATATACTTTATATAGAAGCAGCATGCACAGGAGGGTGTGACACGTGAGTTGATGCAGGGAAAAGAAGTTGTTGTTGAGGTAAGTGAATTTTAAAAGTATTAGAAATTTTCTTAATGTGCAGCTGTTGAGGCATGATTATATTGTGGATTGTATATGATACTTTGGTCATATATAAATTGTTTCTATCCTAAATTTAGCATATATTAAACTTATTGTATCAAAGTATAATATTACTATTAATATCTTTTTTAGAAGGAGAATGCAGAGGATGTTATGAGAAGTGAGGTAATAAAGGGCAAAGAAGCAATGGTTGAGGTAAGTAAATTGTAAAAGTATTAAAAAAAATATGTAATGTGCATCTGTTTAGACGTAAATGTGGATGGTATATTTTTCTTTGACAATATATAAAATATTTGGTTTGAAAATAATCCTAGTATAATTTTTTCTACTTTTGTAAAGGTTGAAGTGGAGAAAGATTTGAGCACTAATACACCGAAGGGTAAGGAGAAAGTTGTTGAGGTAGGTGAAGAGTAGAAACAGTAAAGTCATGGAAATCATTAAATTTTGATAATGATTAATGAAAAAATGGTCAAATAAGGCCTTCTACTATTCTGAAGTGGTCACATAAGGTCATGTACTCAATAAAGTGTCATATAAGTACATCTACTTGTAAAAACAATCAAATGAATCCTAATGACCTATTTAACACCTCTTAATCTCGGTTTCAACGTACTTCTGGCCATCTTTTTAGAATACATTATACGGCATATGTCGAATATTTAACTAAGATTGGTTGAAATACAAGTCAAAAAGCTTATATTAAAATCAAACGAACCAAAGTAACAAGCATGTCTCAAGACCTACATCTCTCTCTCTCTCAAACAATAACAAAAGTCCATCGCCCCCCTCACATCAGGATCAGACATAGAATAGTTCACCCCAGATAGAGCGAGTCTAATCGTTGAAATGGTGAGAGCAAAGAGATTATTAGCAGTTGAGTCGGTCTGGTTGCCTCCCAACAGAAACTTATCTAATTAAAAAAAACAAGCAAAAACCCTACCCCTTAGTGTTCTAAATAGCAATAACGACAGAGTTCATAATTAAACAACTCAAAATGAGTAAAACAGAATTAAATAAAATAAACTTATGGAGCACCCGAATCCGTACTTCAGACGTCATCCTCCATGGCGGCGGTTCAGGAGGGGGGTGAGTCATCAACTATTCATCTTTTTCCTCCAACATATGAATCTGGAATAGTTCATGCCATTTCAAGCAAAGCCTTCCACTCAATCCCTTAATCTGGTCCGCCCCTAAAAGACCACCATCACAAGCCCTGAATTTTACCGATCCGAGACCTTCCACATTCGTTTTGATTGGCATAGTAGTTCATTGTCACCTTCTCTTGCGGTCCATGTTGATCCGTTTGTGAGCTTCGCCCTTCCCCATGACTGAGCTTGGACTCTCTTCCTTCGGCTGCGTAACCTGCGTTGAAATGAGGCTAGAGTCTAGAACCCTAGTTGCGCCTCCCGCTTTCTCCGGTGGTTCCGGCCAAAAGCTTTAATAACCAACTATTGTTAGGGTTTCACATCCAACATAGAACTTTTTTTTCTTTTAGGAATCGTTGTGTGCACTGTGGGAATTGTTATAGCCATGTGTGTTTACCAATCACTAATGCGTACCCGGATACGTATATAATCTCTTGATAAATTTATATATATATATTACATGATTCAACATAGTTTAAGGTTAATAGTGTATGTTTCATAGAAAATGCTAGGGAAAAGGAAACTGTCAAATACCATGTCAAACTCGATCAATATCAGAAACCTCAAAAGTTACTATGAAGACCGGATTGATATGTAACCGGTTCAGGTTCGATTCCCCGTCCCTGATGAGAATATGTTCAGCTCTAAATGTATATATAGCATAGAGTTTTCCGTATCTCCAATTACAAAGAACTACTAAAATGAGGTCTTTACATTTGGAGATAATATAAACATGTTTTCTGATTTCTGTTCTCCAATTTTCTAGAAAAAACGGAGAATTTTTCCTTTCAAGTGAACGGGCCCTTATGTTCTAATGTTATTTTTTACCTTATACTCTGTATAGTGCAAAGAAGACGGTTTCTTTTACTTGTGTTTATTTGTTTCCCAGCCTTTTTTATATCTATAGTTTATGGTAATTAAGTAGTAGAGATAAATACATATATGCTAGGGAAGAAACAATTTCCTGAATATATAGTGTCATACTGCCATCTGAATTTGACACTACCATGTTATCACCCCAACTAGCTGCTGATAATGATATTGGAGAAACATCTGCACGCTGCAAGTTATCATTGATCATTCAAAGAACCTAGCTGGCGTTTATTTAACAAGAATATGAAAGCAAAGCATGAACTCCCTAATAATAATAAGCTACTATGTTACAAGATAGCTAATTACACCATCATAAGGAAAGACAACTCTATTTAATCTCTCGCAAGCTTCTTCTTACGTAACCTGCTTTGACCGGATAAATCTTACAATTGACTGCTAGCATGAAAAGCCGATGGTCTTGATGCCTCACCTATTTGGCAAGAACCAGTCTGATCACCACCAAGGCTAAGTCGGGACAATCCCACAAGTTCATCTACATTGACTGGTTCTTTAGGGACAAGTGGTATGGGTTTTAAGATCTGATGGTGGGGCGTTTCTACCCTTATATCTTCATCCCGAGGAACTGCACTTGAGGGCCATATTGGGAAGGGAATGGGGATAAAAGTCGGGATAAATGTAGGAAACAATGTAGGAGCTTCTGCTGTTGAGGGGGTGATGTTTTCCTTAGGAGCGTTTTCCACGGATTCCGAATCTGTCATGAGAGACAGATGCAACAAAGGTGACGAATCTGCCTGAGCGGTTTCCACCAGCTCTGCCCCCTCGGTTTCTATTGCTTGAATAGGGACCGTCAACTGTTCTTCTGGAAGAGGTTGAGTTTCTGTGGCCTGCTGTACAAGAATCAGAAGAAGAAAAAGGGGCAAGATTGTAAATTAAAGGTTTAAATACGTTTAGTCCCTGTTAAGACAGTGCTATAGGTTCCTGCAAACTGATTTTTGTTTACTGACCCCTCAGGTGTACATCGTTTCACTACTAGTCCCTCTCTATTAACCTAAGCTAAAAAAATTGACGGAACCCACAGAACTTCAGTCTGGCTTTTCTAGTTCCCACATCAACTTTATGCAGCACATCGGCAACTATTACGGACGCTAGGGCTAAGAGAAACCCATAATTCCCATTTTCAATTTACACCTCCCTGGTTATCTGAGGAACCCACAAAAAATGTTACTACGTATGTTTTTTTAACATAGCTTGAAAATGCCATATTGGAGTTCTATGCAACACGACAATTTTTTGAACTAGAGGTCAATGAAGGAACAGATAAAAGAAAGCGGTGTAGTTAAAAGGGATGAATAACAAGGAATTAATTTAACAGGGTACTAAAACAAACAAAAACTCTCTATATATCAAGACAAAAAGCACATTTAAGCCGGAAGAAAATAACAATGTATTGTGAGAGAATTGAATTAGTGGCTTAGACCAATGGTTAAAGAAGTAAAGGAGCCCCCTAGCATATGTGCGTGTAGTTGTGTACACATACTTTATATCTACAAAAGAATATGTTGAGATATGAAGCTTTGACCTCCAAAGTAAAAAAAAATTAAAGCTCTAGCCCCCCTCTAATCGCCAGTGGTGAGAGAGCTTGTTTTTGAGAAGAAGGACTAACCATGTTATCATCAGGAACCATGTCAAAGAGGCTGGACCTTCTCTTTCTGCGAGTGACATTACACTGGCGGATGAAATACTTCTGGGCATGGCTTGCAACCTGAGTGGGTGTCCTTGAGGTCACATAGTTCCTTGATATACCCCTCCAATCCCCTTTCCCCAACTTCTGTAGCCCTACAAGGAACAGCCGGTGCTCTTCCTCGGTCCATGCAATACCTGCAAACTCAATGATGGGAGAGACGGCATTGTTTATACAACAACATCCAAGCCTTAGTCCCAAAAGAGTTTGGGGTTGGCTAACATGAGATGGCATTGATTATAAGATAAACAAATGCAAAGTTGTCATCAGATACGCAAAATAAAAAATTACTAATGGCTTTTGCAAACATAACCTTCCGAAGCACAATCTTTCTTTATCTATGATTCCTTCTTGATCGGTGAGGCCTTGTCATAGCATAGCCACTTTAACTTCCTAAGTTTCAATATATTTTTTCATTTCAACAATTTTATCCCATCCCAGAGCATTTTTTGTTAATGGATGATACATCGGTACCATTGTTAAATTTTATTACATCACCATCAACGAAATGCTGTTCTTAAAATAATAAAGCTTGAAAAAAAATAGTTAAGTCAAAAGAATGGATAGTCATCTTAAGACCATGCCCTAAAAGAAACTTATACACCTGACATTGGTGTTGCATTGCCAATTTAAGGTGAAAAAAATTAGTCAACCCAACAAATTAATTCAAAATACAACTGGAATTGATGAATTCCAATCATTGCTCCTTACTGAAATTTTAAAAAAAATGAAACCCCAAGTTACAACATACAAATGAAACTAAAAGACAATCTATTATGATGTTATCTGATGGCATACAGATATGGAACAAAGAACGGAGTTAAGGCTAAACATAGCTGATGTATATAAAACATAAACCAGAAAATCAATCCTTATAAATACCATTTACTTACGATGAAATTGAGTCTCTTTTAACTGAATAGTTCCCCACAACTGTTTTCATATAAACAAATTAAACTAATATTTTTAATCAATCTTTATAAAACTCGTATAATCAAAATACAAGTAGTCGTAGAATTACATATACTAGTACGGAACATAAGCAAACAAACAAAAAAAAACAATGTTTCAGCTCATGTAACTAGGCTCCAATAAAAGTCTAAAAAATGAACCTTTTTTTCTTTCAGCTCGGCGATTGGTCGAACAAGAAGCATGTGTTGGGTCATCGGAGGCATAACCGTCCGGCAAGCTCACCTGATCGCGCAAAGCATCGGAAGAAGGTGAACCCGGGTTGAGAGAAGCAGCGGAGAACGAGGAAGAGTGGTAGAGAGTGGAAATGTTCCCCATGCTAGCACTCTTCTTCATCACCGAACCCCCCTCGGTCAGCCTCACCCCGAAAATCCTCACCCCTCCGCCGCCGGCAAAGGAAGCGGCGGCGGCGCCACCCCTGGCCGGGCAAGTTCTTGAATTGTGCCCGTTGTTGCTGCAATGAGAGCATCTCCGGGTCATCTCAGGCGCTCAATCGTCGATCCAACTCAGCAGATTTATAAAAAGAAAGAAATCTATAAATAAATCTACGGTTTCCAAATCCAAATGATCAGAAACAGTATATAGATATGTTGACAAATTTGTTTGTATGTGTGGGTGAGTGAGGCCGGGAAAATCGGGGTGGAGTGAAGAGTCTGTGGAGCAGAAAGGGTATAGAGCGAAGATGGATAAGCTTGGAGCAACAGTGGATTTGGATTCCCAGATTATTAAGGTCCCATTTGGATATAATTATTACGATAATCTGGAGGAGGAGGAGGAGGATGCAGTTGGGTGGTTTGTTGGTTCTCAGTGTCCGTAGAAAATGACGGGAATGTCCCTGTGTCTGATGACGCATTCACGCCCTGCTTCGTTGCTTGCCTGCCCTTTTGGAATTTGCCGCCGTCATTTCACTATATTCGTCATTTCCTATGTTTGTGAGGCCTTTCAGCAAAATCTTGGCGGATTTTTTGTCACCCATATTTGAAATAAATTAAAAGAGAACAAAGTTGCGCCTCAAAAAGAGAGACCCCTACTTCTTTTACACCCATGCTTGTGACATGCTTATTCGCATACCTTTTTTTTTCAATTTTTGTTTTTTGACAATTTTTCTTTTTTGTCAAAAAATAGTACTCCTTCCATCCTAATTATTCTTCCAATTACAGATTAGGAAGTTTGACCAGTGATAAAGTTAAATGATTTCTGTGAAAACTCATATTATGTTTTCAACCCTTTTGGAACAAGTGAGGTTTGACGAGGTGGTACAGATATTAAGAAAAATGAATTTTGTGATTGATATCGAATGATTTAAAACAACACAAACTTTAACATATTTGATAAGAAAGATAGATATAATGTTTACCTTGTGTAAAAATGAGATTTCATAAGAACTTCATTAACGGACAAAAAGATAATCCATCTCTTAAGTATATATCTTTACTTTAAAATGCAACTTTGGCTAAATAGGATGCGTGTTTTTTATAGTTGACACCTATCACTACATGGAAAATTAAATTAGGGAGTAGATAAAAAAGAGCTTCAATTATCGGAGCACTTGCTATCTTTTAACAACAAATCTCTCAGGGTGTGTTTGGGAGTTGGGTTTTGGAGAGGAGGGGAAAGTTAATGGGGATTTATGACCCTCATTTTCATTTTTGAGAGTTTAAAAAATTGGAGGGTTGGTTTTGGAGGGCTTTTGTAACCCTTCAAAACCCTGCAAATGCTTTATAAGTTCCCCCAATTTGGAGGGTTTTGGAGGATAATTAACAAGATAGTAATTTAAGTAAAATTAGAAATGAATATCAGCTCAATGATTTGAATTCGTCATATCTCAAAGTGATTTTAATTATAATTTCTTCAAAAACCCTCCTTCCAATTTTATTACTCCCAAATACAAAGAATGGCTTCTTCACTTTCCTCTCTCTTTCCTCTCCAACAACATACCTTCAAAGTCTTCTCCTCCCTTTCTCTCCAAACTCTTGGACATACCCTTATGGTGTATTTGAGAGATGGATTTTGGAGGGGAGGGGAAGGTTAGGAGGGGTTGTGACACTCTTTTTCATGTTTGGGAGTTTAAACAATCGGAGGGGATGGTTTTGGAGGGCTTTTATAACCCTTCAAAACCCTCCAAATGATTAATTTTTAAGTTCCCCCAATTTGAAGGATTTTGGGGGATAATTAACAAGATGGTAATTTAAGTTAAATTAAAAATGAATATAAACTCAATGAATTAAATTCGTCATATCTCAAAGTTATTTTAATTATAATTCTTTCAAAAACTCTCACCTTCCAATTTTATTACTCTCAAATACAAAATAGAGCTTCTTCGTCTTTCTCTCCCTTTCTCCTCCAGCAACATACCTCAAAAACTTTGCTCTCCCTTTCCTTCCAAACTCCCAAACATACGAATCTATCCACGTAGAATTGGATAGGACATGTCAAAGAAGTCGAAAAAAACAAAGGAAACAAAATTGTGGCTAACATACTACTGAGTGTGACATTAGATAAAATTTAACGAATCACAGTCTCAGAAGAAAATCAGTACACGATGTTAGTTAATACGGAGTTTCTTATAAAATTTGATACTTAAGTTATTTTTGTTGTATTACAAGATAGTGAAGGTACCGACTATTTTAGAGCAGTTTGTTACTCTATTTTGAATTTATCAGTTTTATATGTCAATTCTTTTATCAAATGTAATTCTTTTGTTTCATGCTTAAATTCTGTGGGATATGTCGTTAGGCAATATGATTGATTGATTCTGCTGAAATATGGTTGAAACGACTGGATTGGTTGAATCTGCTGAATTTTGAAAAAACTACGTAGTATATAATAGTATTTACAATTTTTTTTAATAAAATAAAGAAAATATATATGAAAATAGCTAAATTAGTCCTCTACATTAACTCCAGTCAATTCAGCTACAAAACTAACGTCAGTCTTACTTATTTTGATTATTACACAATTCGCGCACCAATTAATTGTTGTGTGTTGATGAAATAAAAAGTTGCGTCTTTGACAAAATCAATTTAAATGGAGTATCTTACATTTGTATCGCGGTTTGAAATTCCTTTAACAAAAGCAAAAGATAGCTACATTCTTCGTGTAGGTACTATCATTATTTTTAGAAAATAAAATAAAGAAATTATATTAAATGGGATTAAAACATGATTAAAATTCCAAATAAGGACTTCAAGTTTTAAATTGCCTAAATGGGACTCCACATTACACTTTTGCCTTTCTGCTATTAAAACCCATCTCTCGCCTCCTTCTGCAATTCGTCACTGGCCACGCACATCGGCAGCACATCAATGGCCCCTTTCTGCAATCTACGATAAATTCATCGTAGCAGCAGCTCCGCACATCCCTTGACAGCAGCTCCTCCATCGGCTATGGCCACGCACCGCAACTCCACCGTCGACCACGGGTATTCTTCTTCTTCCTCCTCCTCCTCTTCTTCTTCTTCTTCTTCTTCTTCTTCTTCTTCTTCTTTTTCTTCTTCCTCTTCTTTTGTATATGAACTTCCCATCCTCTTCAAATTTGGGTCCTCTGTTTTCTTCTTCTTTAGATTTTCAGAAAATGACACTTTTTGAATAAGAGAATGTCATTGTTGTGTCATTATTGATCATTTTTAAAAAATGTCATTTTTATGTCATTACAGTATTTGAAAATGTCATATTGAGAATGTCATGTATCTATACGAAATTGTCATTATTGTGTCATTATGCATATGTTAAGTGTCATTCTCGCATATGAAGTGTCATTCCTCATGGAAGTCTACACAGACTCAATGCAGAGTAGATTTTTGTTGGAGAACGATGACAACGTACTTGTTGAGGCGTGAAAGTGGTGGCAGACTTGATGGATGGTGGCATGGCCACCATTAGTGGAGGCGCCAATCTTGGAGGCCTGGAAACGTACAGGGCACACCATTTGCGCAGCAGGGGAATCACATATGCGCATCAAAGGCCCTTGTGAACTCTTCATTAAGGGCATTTTTGTCCAACTAGCTCTTTTTAGTCTTATTTTTGTCCAATAAAACATAGTAGTCCTGTTTTTGCAATTCTAACTTCTTTTAGTCCTATTTAGGCAAATCTCTCAATAAAATAAGGTTTAGTCACTCTTATAAGTTGAAGTTTTATTGTTTTTATTCTATCATGAAGACTGCAGATAGTGGTCACTATCTTTATTTTATTTTTGATGATTATTGTAAAACTGATAAATTGAAATTGATAAATTGTCGACCGTAGTATATTTGAATAAGTAGTCCTATTTGTGAACTTTGTATATATTTTACTCATATTTGAAGCAATTTATTTACCATATTAACCAACAAATATACCATGTAATAGTCAGGCCTTACTGCCTTAGTATCTCTCGATGAATAGTAGTGCATTTACTATTTCTCTATTGGAGGATCCTATAGAGATGGTGCAACCGGCGCACCATGAGGATGGTGCGCCCGGTTGCAAAACGACGCAGCTTGCCCTCCCCCTCCTTTTTTTTTTTGCTTTTGTTGTTAAAAATGATAATAACTTTTTTATTTTTGATCCGATTTTTATAAAATTTATATCAACATTTTTTATTTTTCATTATCTTTCAAATGAGACCCATATTGCTAATGTAATTTTAAGAAATTATCGAACTATTATATTAATGAGTCTTGGATTATAAGGAAAATCGAATCTGTTTGGGAGATGATAGGTTTGTGAAATAGAAAATCGAATCTGTTTGGGAGTGGATCAGTGGCCTCAGTTACATTTGATAATACAATGAGTTACATCTTTTTATGAGCGAGTTACATCTTTTTATAAGCAAGTTACATCTTTTTATAAGCAAGTTACATCTTTTTATAAGCAAGTTACATCTTTTTAAAAGCGAGTTACATATATATAAACACGAGTTGCATTTGACATGCCTGAACGCGACTTACATATATTTACACGTAAAGTTACATATTTTTACACGTAAAGTTACATATTTATACACGCGAGTTACATATTTATACACACGAGTTGCATTTGACCTGTCTGAACGCGTGTTACATATTTTTTTACGTAAAGTTACATATTGTTACACGTAGAGATACATATTTATACACACGAGTTGCATTTGGCCTGACTGAACGTGAGTTACATATTTTAACACGTAAAGTTACATATTTTACACGCAAATGTTAATATGTTAAAATTACATAGGCAATATTGGTCTCATTTGAAAGATCATGAAAAATAAAAAATGTTGATATAAATTTTATAAAAATCGGATCAAAAATAAAAAAGTTATTACCATTTTTTAAAAACACAAGGAAAAAAAAAATATAAATCTGTACCCGGTATACGGTGCTCACCAAATATACGGTATAGGCACTCATGAATTATACTACGAGTCTGTTAGAGGCGTGTAGAATAATAAGGATCATGATTCCAGCCTTCAGCTTTGTCTGATTATTTAAGTCTATTTTGATTTTATTTTAATTCTACTTTTTTTTGAGGGGATTGGGGTTTTCTTTCTTTCGTTTTCATAAGTAGACTTGTACAAAACTGGGACGGGCCGGTCGGCCTGCCCAGCCTGCCCGGACAAATGGAAGGGCTTGGGTCGGGCCCGGGCCGACCTGCAATAAGATATGGGCGGACTTGGGTTGTGGTGTAGGCCCGTTCGCGCCAATAAACCCGGCCCGCTACATTTAATATATATAAATATATATATTTATATATATACTAATTTATTTATTTATTTATTTATTTATTACATATACACATGTATATTATATTTACTAATTTTTCTTTATACATATTTATAGTTTATTATGTTTAAATTTAAATTTTTAGTTTTGAACAACTAGTCCAACCAATATAATATCTATTTTTGCACATAAAGATAATACTTTGTGCTTAAATTTTAAATTTCAGATATGGTTTCTCATTATTATGTTTGTGTAAGTATTTTTTTGTATGTGGTGAAAGACCTATAAACATTATAAGTATATTAACAATTTTTTAAATGTTGTAATATTATTTTTAAAGTATTAAAAAATCATATAATTTAGAAAAAATTAAAGTTTTCCCGGACCGGACGGCCCGGTGGACTACCCGGCCCGCTCTTTTGGGCGGGTATGGACATGGGGTTAGGCCCGTTTTGCGGGCCGTGTTGGGCCCGCCCACACATGACGGGCAGAACATTTATAAAAAATTCGGCCCGAACCGACTCGAACTCGTTTTTGTACAGGTCTATTCATAATCATTTTGTTGATATGCCTTGAGTTTGACAATCCACTCTTGTAGAATGTATGTGTGTCTCGCTAGGGATCACTAGTAGCCTAATCTAAATATTTTTATCTGAATTTTTTTAATTCTGATCTGAATTTTTTTGATCTGTTCTGATCTAAATATTTTTTATCTCATTTGAATATTTCTGAAATTATGATTGTAATTATAATTATAATCATAATTATAAAAAAATATAATTAAAATTATAATAGGTATAATTATTAGTATACCTATTACACTAGTTATAATTATATCTATTATTATAATTGCAATTATATTTTTAATTATATTTATTTCTACAATTACAATCATAATTATAATTATAATATTTATTTCTATAGTTATAGTTATAATTACTCCGCATAATAATAATGGTGACAACACCACCACCACCACCACCACCAACAACAACAACAACAACAACAATAATAATAATCATTACCCCAGTGCTGCAAAGGCTCCTACCTATGGTGAGGTAAGGGGGTCGGATGTACGCAACCTTACCCCTGTACTAAAGCACAGAGAAATTGTTTCCGAATGACCAAAGGTGAAAATCACGTTAAAAATTGCATGGACTGACTGCTGCTTCATAACAAAGAAGCGCAGACAGTTTAGTAAGTCATTTTGCTTTATTTCATCATATTTCCAAGACAAAAAATAGTGAATCTTTGATGCCATTGCAAATAATGGAATAATAATAATAATAATAATAATAATAATAATAACAACGACAACAATAGATCAGACCAGATCAGAAACATCTACTTCACGCATAACTACAGATCAGAGAGGCGAATATGGTGGCTCATCTTCTTGCTTAGGCATACAATACTCTTCAGGTTCCAATCTTCTTCCATAGACTCGACCAGCTCCCTTCTGGGATTCAAGGCCCCATTCACCTGGATAATGTTGACTGTCCTAACATTAGAGTTGCCTAATTTGGCATCTGTTGGTTTTCTCCTTGGGCCTGACCCAATTAAAAAACGAAGAATACAAGGACAGAAGTAGTAAGCATAATTACGTGCTACTTGATTAACTGTGGGCCTGGTCGAGACTACTCTTTGTTGAGAGTTTTTGATAGTACTGTTTTCTAATAGGTAAATTTGAGCCCATATATAAAAGGTGTATACCTTTTTATTTCCGGGATAGAGATAGAGATATAGAATCTGGCCACCTTGAGAAATCAGAATGAGAAAAGGGGCAAATAAGCCCACGTACTAAGTACTAACAAAAAAGGTCAAATAAGTCCTTATATAGGGGGTATGTCCGGCCGTCGTCATTTGGGGCAGTTCCCGGTGGAATATTTTTATGCAATTTTTTGAGCATATTATTCATTAAGTCTAGTTTACTCATACCAAATTTCAGCTAAAACTTCAATCGGGAAGGCATTCAAATAAATTATTGAAGATAACTGCGCAGTTAAAAGCGCAGTTATCTTCAAGAATTTATTTGAATGCCTTCCTAATTGAATTGTTAGCTAAAATTTGGTATGAGTAAACTAGAATTAATGAATAAGATTCTCAAAAAAATTCATCAAAACATTCAACCAGGAACTGCCCCAGATGACGATGGCCGGATAGAGTATCCTGTATAAGGGCTTATTTGACATTTTTTTGTTAGTACGTGAGATAATTTGCCCCTTTTCCCAAACACAATTATATTCACTAGACTCCAATGAAAACTCTATATTTTGCTCAAGACAGTGGTAATGTTGATAAACATGATATTAATGGCAAGCTACACTAGATGGGGGTAAATCGTGGTATCAAGGTGATGGAGGTCATACTATTAATTTGTAACACCTCGAAAGTCTGTAGTTTGAACAATGTCTAATTTGAGAATATTTTGAACTTTAAATTAACATCTTTTTCTGGGTCCCGGTAGGCAAACCACCCATTGGTCGGACAAATGGCGAAGAACATTTGATAGATTTTGTAAAAATCTTTATATAATATAAAGTAACATTGTTTGCACCATAATTGTAGGGAAAAATCCCGCCCAAAATGTTTAAGAGAATAATAATGGAAATTATTGTAAAATGTAATAGTAATTTTTTTTCGCACCATCAAGGGAAGTGCTGTACTAAATTTGGTAATACAGAGTATTTTTTTTTTCTCCCATATACATACTCCATATAACTTAATTTGGCATCAAATCTTGCATCAAGTGTGTTTTATTTGTTCTTAATTATATATTATATACTCCGAATATTAAAGGTAGTAGAGATGAGTTTAGTAACTTAAATTTGGAAACAAGTTTTTCACTAACACAACGATGCGGTAATGGAATAACAAAATCTCAAGATTGCTACTAATTTGTAACGAAATTTACTAAAATAAAATTTATCATCATAATTTATAAACAAAACTGTTAGCTTAAATTTCAGTAACTACTATATCACTTTTATGACTTATTACTAGCGAAAATGATAGCTAATTAAAAGAACATATAGAGATGACTTAGAGCCCGTTTGGTAACATAGAATCCGACTGAATCGGCTGATTTTGCTGAAGTTTTTGAAGTTTTGGCTGAAGTAGGTGGATTGACTGATTCTGCTGATTTACTAAAACATTATACTTAAAATGTTTTTATTAATAAAATAAAGAAAAAATTATACAAAAAAGTAGCTAATATGTTCCTCTACATGCAATAACTTCAGTCAATATAGTCAGAAAAGTAACTCGACTTACTTTTTCTTATTATTACACTATTCTGCGCGGAAAATCAAAAGTTGCGTGTTTGGTGAAAAAAATAGCTGATAAGCCTGATAAGCCGAAAAACAGGGTCACCAATCGAGCTCTTAAATTTTAAGATTTTCCTAAAAGGTTATATTTTTTGTTAATAATAATAATAATAATATTTTTCCCGTAACAACATACCCGTAATGATGATAATGATGATGATGATGGTGGTATCGATAATCATACATCATCATACTCAAAACACTTTGTTAAGTTTCTTTGTTTTATCATGTCAAAAATCTTTATCATTTTCATTTTAATTCTCTTTCTCTTTCTGTCTCACCCTATTTTCATCACAGTTACATTTCTTTTTTATCAATGCATAATACTTTCTCAGACCCTTATAATTTTCTATCTTTCCTTTTTAATTGTCTAAAAAATTACAATTTTCCCATTTTATCAATTAATTTGAAGCTTTCGTTGTTATCTTCCTCTGTAGAACTACAAACCACACAATTTTTAGTTTATTATTTTACGTGCACGTCATGCGTACTTGACAAATGTTTTAGGAACGGATGGAGTATAATGTATAAAAGTCGCTACAAATTTTGGCATAAAAACAAATTCACCCTAAAAATTGCCCCATCCAATCCCAATATAATCTTCTAATTTGCTCTTTCTGTGTAGATTAATAAAATAGAAATTGTATTGTTGAAAATTGTACAGATGAGAGAGAAAGTGTAAGGAATATAATGTTGTGAATACAATATCTTCGCAAAAAAGGAAATAAAAAATTACTTTTGGACAGACGAAAAAGGAAAAAAATGTATTGCTTAATTCTTCTCTATCAAAGTAAAAAAGAATAACCTTTTTGAGAAAAATAATTTTGTGTATTTAAAGTATAAAGTTGAAAAGTATTTTTTAAATATTTGCAACACTCCCTAATCGTTGTTGCATTATATTTGTCATAATGACAAACAAAAGCTATGAACAACATCTCCATCAACTGCACACATGACTCATATCTACCGAAATTTGTTTTTATAAATGGTTAGTTGTATATTCTTTGCACGTCTAGGATTATATTAAGACGTATTTGAAAATTCTTATGCGTGAAGTTACCTTTCAGAAAAATATAATGATAGTGAAATAATTATTAATTTTTTTTCTCGAATAGTTGCTAGCACTTATCTGTCATTTCTGGAAAATATGGTTGATCCATCATATTTTCAGCAAAGACCTATTTTGACACCCACAAATGATGTTATGGAGCCTATAAATAATTATATGATTTCATTGATGCCTGGAGAAATAATGACATATTTGAGTTTTGATAGTCCATTCTCGCGTGAAGGAAACATTGACGCTTAATCTGATGAAGTGCATACTCAAGAGTTTATGAACACCATCAATGCATTAGGAATATCAAAACCATAAATTGGTACTAAAGGTTGGTGTTCCTATTATGTTAATGAGAAACATTGACCAGTCCTCTGTCTTATGCAACATAATTCGCCTGATTATTACTCGGTTAGGTGAATTTGTTTTGGAGACGAAGGTTATAACCGAAAAAAGTATTGGTCAAAAGGTTTTGATTCCACGACTATCATTGGTCCCGTCAGATAACAGAATTCCTTTCAAATTTCAGCGCAAGCAATTTCTAATAATTGTTTCATTTGCCATGACGATAAACAAAAGTCAAGGACAATCTATGGATCAAGTGGACATATATCATCCAAAGTCTGTCTTTACGCATGATTAATTGTACGTGGCCATGTCAAGGGTTACCTCAAGGAGTGAGTTGAAGATTCTTATATGTGATGACGAGGGCCGCACTATATCAACACCACGAATAATGTGGTATATAAAGAAGTTTTTCAAAATTTGTGAAACTTCTATTTCATTGTCAAAATATATGACTGTTGGTCTATCTTATAAATTTTAATGAGACATAGAGCTCATTGATTTTTCACGTAGACCTTATGGTTACACATTATCATTTATTTCAATTTTCTTTTCATTTTTTCATACGGTTCAAATTTTCCTACCACTACGACTATGTATATAATAAAAGTACAACATATAAACTCTATTTTTTTTATTCGTCAAAACTAACACATAATGTACCATAATAAAACATAATTTAAAATAAGTTATTATCCAATTCTAGATATACCCCGTGCATCGCACGTGTACTTCATCTAGTAAGAAATAATACAAACAGAGAGGGAGGCTAGGTCGAAACCTCTCTAGAAAAGGCACGCCTCTTCCAAATACAAGGAGAAAAGGTAAATGAAAATTGGGGGAATAGACCTGACCCAATTAAAACGACAGATGCAAAATACAATAAAAACAAATCACACAAACGAACATCAATTAATAAGGCGAAAACATAAAACAAATTAGGCAACCCTAATTTCAGACATCCAACAAAGTCCAGATGAAAAGCTCATTGGATCTGCAAAGGAAACTGAGTGAGAAGATGGGCGACCACATTCGCCTCTCTTTAATTGTGAATGAGCGATAATTAAGCCTGAGTGAGTCGCTATGAAAGTGATGGGATTTGCAAGATAACCAAAACTATCTGCGCCTCTCCTCTGTATGAGAATCAAAATAACAACAAGAGAATCAGATTCAATTTCCACATATGAGAACCCCGCCTTCAACAACCAGCGAGCAGCAACAAATATAGCAACAAGTTCAGCTTCAAGAATCGATCGAGCTTCTAGAGAGAAATAATTTGCGAATGTGAAATTTCCTACTTTGTCTCTCAAAATGGCACCCCCAACGAAGGAGTTTTTGGAAAAGGCACCATCTACATTCATCTTAAAGGTACCTTTCAGTTTCTTCCAATTAATCTTGAGAAATCTAGGGATGCAATTCCTCTTATTAATTGAAAATAGACCTTGAATTAGGAACTCCGGAGTATCTAATCCTTTAGCAAAAGTAATTCCATTAGACCAGTGTCAGATAAATATGTTAATAACCTTCTTGATAGATTGAGGGTCAAAATTAGAAGTAGTATCACAACTTTAAATTAACATCTTCAATTCCTCTCTATTAGTTAATTATATATCTATGATACCATAAATAAACAACAAACATAATTGGCTCAAATTATAATGAATAGAAAATGAATGAAACAATTAGTTAGAGAACAAGAATTTGAATATTCTCTTGAACATGTTTTTTTGTTTCTCTTAGAAATAATCCAATATTTCCAATATAAGCTTTAAAGTTGATAAATTTCTTATTTTCAACCAATAAATTTGAATAAGCATAACTTTTATAAGGGGAGCAATTTCCTTTGATTCTCTACTTCCCCACAACTCTCATTTCTCTTGATAACTCGTCTCTTCTTTAAGTTCTTGTCATTTTCTTCTAGTATTATCAATTCATATGTGAGTCTCTCAGAGACATAAGAATGATAAGATATACATGATTTCTAGTACTCATTACTCAATCAACTGTTTTATTATTTGCTCGAGTTTATTTTTGAGATTTCCTTGATAAATATCATTTATGAATCTTATTATGTTAACTCAGTTACCGAATAAATTCAGTCCTAAATCTATTAGGATTGCCCGAATTATTTGAATGACCAACATTGGTTCATCGTTTGATAACTCATATGAGGTGGTAACATACTTATCATTGATTATTGTTTTCTTGTTCATTGAAGTCTTCTGCTTCCTCACTCTCATTTGTTTTCTCACTTTAATTAAAGAAATTTAAAGTATGAGAACATAACTGACCAATTTGACAATTTTCTCTTTTTTGTTTTGATTTTTTATTCTCACATTTAAATTACGGAGCATGTTCTAAGAATTATGACGACGGACCCAATTTTTTGGAAGCAAGAAACTGGACAAGCAAAACGAAAAGAACGGAGATCTAAATATGGTGGGCGCTGTTTATTTTACGGCGGAGTACTTCCACTAAATGCACTAATCATCTTCATCTACACTGACGGCTTTTATACGGATTACTGGACTAGACTCCATTTATACATCTAATCATGAATTTCGTTTTCTCCCAACTCCGAATTTTCAGTTTTGTTGGTTTGTTGAATATCTGAATCCTAGAGGTTTAAACTTCCACACTGCGCTTGCCGCCTTGATCTAGCTAAAATCCCAGTTTCGTGTCCAGATTTGTTGAAGGGTGAGCTCGTACGGACATTCTTCATATTCTCATCTCAAAAGATCCGATCGATGCATATATTTATGAGAATAGTAGTATAGTACCTCATAATAGGTCTTTAAAGCTGATGGTTTCTCTCTCCTAGGGTTTGAGCGCGCTTTGTAGGAATTTTGTTGGATTGGGATATAGGTAGGGCTGGAGACAGGAAATTGTGATGGATTCTTATAGGCCTTTTCATCCGCCGCCTCAACCCGCGTTTGCCCCGCCACCGCCGCCGAATCAGAATCATATCCGGCCTCCCCTGCCAACATCTTTGGGGCAGCCGCGAGGGAATCACCCTTCTCAGAGTAATTGGGGATATGGTAATTATCAACACGCACATCATTTTAGCGGCCCTCTTCAGCCGAGGAACCAAGTTCCTCCGCCGCCCCCACAGTCTCATCAGTATCCGCCACCCCCACCGGATTCTTCCTATCCTCCTCCACCTCCGCCTCAGCCGGCTCCACCAGCACCACTATATTATCCTTCATCCCAGTACAGTCAGTATAGCCAACACCAACCTCCACAACCCCCGCTCCCACCACCCCCACCATTGTCTCCTCCTCCAAATTCTGTGATTCCTCCTCCTCCACCCCCATCTTCACCCCCACCACCCCCTTCTTCAGACCCCCCTGCACACCAAAGCAATGAAATCAGGATCCCCCCTAAGCAGAAAGCTGATATTCCTCCCTTGCAAGTGAAGAAAGCAAACGCTCATCCTGGAAAACTAGAGACAGAGGAAGAAAGGAGGTTACGAAAGAAGAGAGACTATGAGAAACAAAGGAATGATGAGAAACATAGGCAGCAATTAAAAGAATCGCAAAACAAGGTGCTTCAGAAGACTCAAATGTTAGCTTCTGGAGCGAAGGCTCACGGTTCCATTAGTGCGTCGCAACTAGCTGACAGGAAGACTACTCCTTTGTTGACCGGGGAGAGATCTGAAAACCGGTTGAAGAAACCAACTACATTTCTTTGCAAGCTGAGGTTCTTATACTGATATGTTAATTTAAGACGTTTCATATAATCACTTATTTGCTAGTTCAGTACATTTTCTCATCACACTTCAAATGTTTAAAACTTCTGTTTGGATAAGTATCTATATACTATTGTGTGTGTGTGCAGGTTTAGAAACGAATTGCCAGATCCAACAGCACAACCAAAGCTAATGTCTTTAAGAAGAGACAAAGATAGGTACACAGTTTTTGTTGTCTCATCATATCATATATACCAATGCATACCCATGTACTGTGTTTAGAATATGTCTGAAGTACGCCTTTTAGAGTAAACATTTGAAAATCAAAGAGCTTCCTTTACATCAAGGCATCAATCACACTAATAAGAGAGAATTTGCAAATAAAAGTTTATTTAAGCTACTCCGTAGTGTTTATTAACCAAAAGTTCTTTAAGCATGATCATTGCTCAAAGCCCCAAGCTATGCTAATATGCTGTATTTTATGCCAAACAAAACCATGATCTATTTTTTCTAGCTCTCTATGATGTATGGAACTATTACTATATGTTTACTCTGCATTGCCATCCTAGAGTGGATCTAAATGATCTCATATTTAGTTGTCTACAATTCTCCCTAAGTGGCCATTTGGTTAGGGTTATTTTGCTGAGATGGTTGAATTTTATCGGAAAGCAAAAGCGTTTGGTGGATAGCCAATTAAGGAGCTGGGTACTTCTTTTCTATTCAGTCATGTCAGGATTATGATGTTTGTATGTATTAAGATGTCTTTCTGTATTAAGTGACCTCAGTATATGAAATTCTTTTTGGGCTATTTTGTCAACGAATTTTGTCACTTATTAATATACATTTATTTAGTCTAGTAGACGTCTTTATAGGTGCCTTAATGGGAATAAGTAAGATATCACTGCTTTATGATTAAGTCAGTTTTTGAGTGAATAAGTACATGTTTTCATTTAAGTTGTACATAAACATTATTTAATGGCTGAATGATGATTCAATGAAGTCACTGACCCGGTGAAGCCCATTAAGTCACAAGTAAACATCTCCTAAGTTAGCAGCTACCTAATGTGCTTAATTTGCTGATAATACTACCCTCCCAAAGAGGCCCTAAATGATTTAGCTTTTCATAACCACAGGCTCTATAGTAGCATTCTTTAGCCTATTCCCTGTTGTTTAAGGCAAGAAGGTTACATATGCAGATTTACCAAGTACACAATCACTTCATTAGAGAAAGTGCACAAACCACAACTATATGTTGAGCCAGATCTTGGAATCCCGCTTGACCTACTTGATCTCAGTATATATAAGTATGCTTCTTCTCCTTTCATACATAGCTTCCCCGACAGCTGGTTTTTTAAGCTACAACAATACTAGTCACACTAATTTCTGTTTGGTAGTCCTCCTAAGGGCGAATTGACTCCCTTGGATGTTGAGGATGAGGCCTTGTTGCGTGATGATGATCCTGTAACACCAATCAAGAAAGATGGCATAAAAAGGAAAGATAGGCCAACTGACAAGGGTGTCTCTTGGCTAGTAAAAACACAATATATTTCCTCTCTAAGTGCGGATTCAACGAGACAGGTTTCTACAATTTTTGTTCTCACGGATACACTTTTTTGTATAAAACAAAAAAACATTATTTGGTCTCATACTAGTATGTTATTTTTCCACTTTTGTGCATGAGAATTTGAAATTTTTGCCACTTTTGGTTCCGATCACTTATCTGCCATAACTGGGAAAAATGGAAGTCAAGAACCAAAAGTGAAAATGACATACTGGATGTGCGACCAAAAGTTGAATATTTTCTAATGCCTAACAATACATTAATTGTTTTCAATTCTCTATAGTCTCTAACTGAAAAGCAAGCGAAAGAATTACGAGAGACCAAAGGAGGCTGCAATATTTTGGACAACCTTAATACCAGGTTACATTCCATCATTTTGTTTCTTTGTCGCTAGTGAAAGACATAAATAGACATGGACCATCTTTCTTATAGTTTTACATTTTACTTTTGGCAATATACCCTGATATATATTTTCAGGGAAAGACAGATACAACAAATTAAGGCTTCTTTTGAGGCATGCAAGTCACGTCCAGTTCATGCGACCAATCCAAGATTGCAGCCGCTCAAAGTTCTTCCCCTTCTTCCTGACTTAGATCGGTTAGTTTTTCATCTACAAAAAGTGAAAAAGCTAATGATATTTCTTTTTCCTAGGTAAAACCAATCTTTGCAAGAAGTGAAAAAACTTTTCTTGACATTTTCCATTCGCCTAGCATTTTCTCATGATCATCCTTATTGCTACTTTTTAAACTTCATTGTTATTAAAGAATCCCCCTTTTCGTACAGGTACAAAGACCAGTTTGTGGTTGCAACATTTGATAGTGCTCCTACTGCTGATGCAGAGAACTACGGCAAGTTAGACAAGTCTATTCGAGATAAACATGAAGATCGTGTAAGATGATGTTCTTCTATATTTTGAGCGCAGGATGAAAAAAAAAACGTTTCCTTTTGCAGTAAAACTTGATTCTCCCTTCATGCTCTCCAGGCAATTATGAAAAGCTTTGTTGCTAGAGGCTCAGATTCCACAAATCCTGATAAATTTCTGGCATATATGGTCCCTTCACCCTATGAGGTAGACTTGCCCCCCCCCCCCCCCCCCCCCCCCCGCCACAAATCTTCAAGGTTAGCTTCCCTATCTAAACAATTTTCTTACTCATTAACTTGATTTTTATTTGACAGCTAGAGAAGGATATGTTTGATGAAGATGAGGATATCTCATACACATGGGTGCGCGAATATCACTGGGATGTATGTAACCATTTTGAAGTTTCTTTGGAGCTTCAATTTGTTTTCCTATTTTTTCTTAGAAATCTGTAGTCTATAATTTTAATACTTCAACAGGTACGCGGTGACGTCACAGATGATCCAACCACATTCCTTGTTGCTTCTGACAAAACAGTGGCACGCTACATGGTAAACATCCTATACTCTCTGTCCTAAATATGTCATTTTAGTAAATAAACAAGTAGTTTAGTTAGCCAAGGTTGAATTTAGCATTATGCATAAGTTCTTTCCTATGAAATCCTAGTATGGAATACTAACATGTTGTTGTACAATGCAATGCACTCAGCCTGTTCCTACAAAACTGACATTGAGAAAAAAGAGGGCCAGAGAAGGGAAGTCAAATGATGAAGTAGAACAGTTTCCAGTACCTTCAAGAGTGACAGTCAGGAATAGACAAACAGTCGCTACCAATGAATTGAAAGATGAAGGGGTATAAGTTCATTTGCCTCCATTTTTTTAAAAGGGTAAAAGTATAACTTGACATTGTTTGTTTGGCATTGCTTGGTGTCATTGTAGGACTATTCAAGTTTCAAGGGGAGTGCTTCAGGCAAGAAGAGAACAAAAATCAGCTTTGAAGATGGTTTACATTCGGAGAGAGGAATGAATGAGAGTGATGATGAATACCAATCTAGTGGTGGTGGTGAATATGCATTGTCTGATTCATGATAATTTATGATACCAAAATACCAAAGCAGAGATTAGGATCGTGAAAGAGAGCTAGATATCAATTAGTGTGTTTGTAAGTTGTAAAAATAAAAGAATTTTGTTAATTTTGTTTTTTCAACTCAAGTTTATTTAAAACATACTGGTCTATGGATTTTTGTCATACAAAAACAGATTCTACAATGAAGTATTTAGAGAACAAAAATCAGCTTTGAAGATGGTTTACGTTCAGAGAGAGGAATGAATTAGAGTGATGATGAATACCAATTTAGTGGTGGTGGTGAATATGCATAGTCTGATACTCTGATTCATGATAATTTATGATACCAAAATACCAAAGCAGAGATTAGGATCGTGAAAGAGAGCTAGATATCAATTAGTGTGTTTGTAAGTTGTAAAAATTAAAGAATTTTGTTAATTTTGTTTTTTCTACTCAAGTTTATTTAAAACATACCGGTCTATGGATCTTTGTCATACAAAAACAGATTCTACAATGAAGTGATTAGAGAACAAAAATCAGCTTTGAAGATGGTTTACATTCAGAGAGAGGAATGAATGAGAGTATTGATGGACTCGGGCCGGGTCGGGCCCGGGCTGGGCCTAGGCCCGGTCGGGCCGCCGGGTAGTATGACATGGGCCCGGGACCGGCCCGAGGGTTGGACGGGTCCGGTCCGGGCCGGGCCACCCGCCCGGGTCACGGGTCCGGTTCGGGCCGGTTATTTTTTTTTTAATTTATAGTTTATAGTTTATAGTTTTATACGAGTATTAAAAACAAACTTCAATTGCATTTATTTGAAATGAAATAGGAACTACATTTGAAAATTAAAACAAACTTTAACAGATAAACATTTTGAAAATTGTAATCAATCGGAACTTCCCACACCTCCCGATCCTTTGGCTTTGTCACATGACTTCATATGCTTGATTGCCATTCCGAATCCGCCAGAAACCCCCATGCTACATTTTTTCTCGCACCATTTGCAAATTGCGTACCACATCCCGGTCTTCGGGTCCTTCTGCTTATCAAAATTATACCGTATAATGGCATCTTGATTTTCCATCTTAACTTCTTAAGTATAAACTATAAAGTAGATATATAAATAATAAATATAATATATTGGAGAATAAGAGAATTAGAGAGTAGAGAGTTAAGAATAGGATTCAGGAAGAATTGGAGAAGAGATATGAAAAAATGTTTAAGATTAGGAGTATTTATAGGTTTTTTTACCCCCCACCCCCACCACCCCCCCACCAGCCAACCCCCCCGGACCCCCCCTTTACCCCACCCAACGGCTAAATAGCCGTTTGGGTTGTCCCCACCCCCACCCCCAACGGCTAGTAGCCCAAACCAATTTTTTTTTTTAAATTAGACCCGGACCCGACCCGGCCGGGCCGGGTCACAATAATCCAGCACCGAGCCCGCCCCGCCCCTTCCCACCGGTTCGGGTCCATACCCGGTCCCGGACCGCCCGACCGGGCCGGTCCCGGGCCCGCACAGTACCGGGCCGGGCCGGGTGGCCCGAACCGAATCCAACCCTCCTAAATGAGAGTGATGATGAATATGGATGGACCAAACCGGGTCGGCCCGGCCCTGAACCGGCCCGGACCGGCCCTGAACCGGCCCGGTTATGGATTGGGCGGTGCGGGCTTTTACCCGGCCCGGCGGAGGCTAGCGGTTCGGGCACGGTTCACAAAAAGGAAGGCCTGGGCCGGCCGGTTCGGGCCAACGGCTATATTTAAAAAAAAAATCTTTTGGCTACCAAACAGGCCCTTAGAGCCGTTGTGATTGAACCCAAACGGCTATATAGCCGTTGGGAGCCTTCCTGGGGTCCAGGGGTGGGTTAGGGGGTGGGGGTGGGGGTGGGGGTACAAAAAAACTATAAATACTCCATTTTTTCTATACAATTTACTACACATCTTCTCCAAATATTCCTACTCTCTAATCTCTATTCTCTACTAATCTTCTCCATCTTCACCTTCTCAAATTTATAACTACATATATTATATTATATTTACATATATAATCATCTCTAATTTATTTACTTATATTTACATTTTAGATATACTTAATATATACTTATATATATTAAAGTATTATATATAAGTGTATTACTAATCTTATAGTAATATACTTATATTATATATACTATAAACATAATATTATATATTACTAGTTAATCTACTTATTATCTACTTATATATATATATATATATATATATATATATATATATATTAAGTATATCTACTTATACACTTATTATCTAATTGTTACATTTATTAATTTCCTATCATAGTAGTTAATTGTTACATTTATTAATCTCTTATCATAGTAGTTAGTTGTTAATTCGAAATTAATTATTTAATTGTTAAATTAGTTAGTTTGTTAGATTTATTAATCTCTTATCATAATAGTTCATTGTTACATTTATTAATCTCCTATAAAAACTAGTTAATTGGTAAACTAGTTAATTCAAAATTAATTGTTTAATTCTTAAACTAGTTAATTGTTGCATTTATTAATCTCCTATAAAAACTAGTTAATTTTTAGTTTGTTACATTTATTAATCTCTTATCATAGTAGTTAATTGTTACATTTATTACTCTCCTATAAAAACTAGTTAATTGGTAAACTAGTTAATTCGAAATTAATTGTTTAATTCTTAAACTAGTTAATTTTTGCATTTATTAATCTCCTATAAAAACTAGTTAATTGTTAGTTTGTTATATTTATTAATCTCTTATCATAGTAGTTAATTTTTACATTTATTACTCTCCTATAAAAACTAGTTAATTGGTAAACTAGTTAATTCGAAATTAATTATTTACTTCTTAAACTAGTTAATTGTTGCATTTATTAATCTCCTATAAAAACTAGTTAATTGTTAGTTTGTTACATTTATTAATCTCTTATCATAGTAGTTACAAGTTACATTTATTACTCTCCTATAAAAACTAGTTAATTGGTAAACTAGTTAATTCGAAATTAATTGTTTAATTCTTAAACTAGTTAATTGTTGCATTTATTAATCTCCTATAAAAACTAGTTAATTGTTAGTTTGTTACATTTATTAATCTCTTATCATAGTAGTTACAAGTTACATTTATTAATCTCCTATAAAAATTAGTTAATTGGTAAAGTAGTTAATTCAAAATTAATTGCTTAATTATTATTCGAATTTAATATTTGTTATATTTTTAGTATGGAGCGTGCTAGAGCTTCTGTAGATATGGGTAACCTCCGCCGCAACCGAACAAAGGAGATTGCGAGGAATGTTCCAAGGTCACGCAAAGGTAAGGGAGGGCCGGGGTCTTCATCTCAAACCCGAGATGATTTTGATGCGGATTACAACCAAAGATATGGGGATGCGATGTCCGATGACCAACTAGAACAACTTTTGCAACAAAATCAAGGACGTTTTTTTCATCAACAAGACATCCCGCAAACCATTGACGAAGAAGAGCTTGAGGATGATGATGCGGAGGAGAGGGATCCATGAACGGTCGAGGACGAGGATCATGGCACACCGGATGATGAGGAAGAGGAAGCGGAAGTGGCTACTTCTTCCCAAGCCGGTGGGAAATCTGAATCTGTCTTTAAGGCAAATTTTACAAAAGTTAAAGACCTCGAAACCGAGATATGGTACGCCACTTGCAAGCATTGCAACAAAAAGTATAACTTGGGAATTTCTGGAGGGTACGGGAGCACCACAAGGCATCTTAAGGCCAAGCACCCGGCGGAATATGTGAAATCGGACAAAGGCAAGGGAAGGCAAACCCAAATTTCAAGGTTTGCAACTGGACAACCCTTTGATAATTTCTCCTATGATGATCAAAGACATTTGACTGGTATGTCTCATTTAATTGTTGAAGAAAATTTGCCTTTTATTTTTCGGAAAGTCTTACTTTAAAAGAATATGCTCAAGGTTCTTTAAATCCCCAATTTCGAAACTATAGTCGCAAAACAATTAAAAAAGAAGTTATATGGCAATATGTTTTGGAAAAGCAAAAATTACAAACATTTTTTGCAAAATTTTATGGACGTGTTAGTATATGTAGTGATATATGGGAGGATACTCATCATCATTTATATTATTTGGGTTTGACTGCACATTATATTGATGATGGTTGGTGTATGCATAAACGTGTTCTTGCTTTTCGTGAATTTAATGATAGACACACATGTGATAATATTTATATTCTCATTGAGCGTATTTTAATTGAGTATAATTTGATTAATAAGGTGTTTGCAATTGGTTTTGATAATTCTACTAATAATACTGCTGCTATTCCTAGATTGCGTGAATTGTGTGGTTCATCTTCTTTGATGGGTAGGTTTTTTCATCAGCGTTGTGCATGTCATATTTTAAATTTATGTGTAAAGGACGGCCTAGCGGCGTTGGGAGATGCTATGGAGGTGGTGAAGGGGGGAATAACACTTATTTGGGCTAGTTCTCAACTTAAGATGCAATGGAGAATTTTTTTGAAAGAAAGACGTGTCAAATATTGTGCTTTTCCTAAAGATTTGTCTATTCGTTGGAATAGTACTTATAACTTAATTAAGGTGCTTATTAGATAAAAAAAGGTGCTTATTAGATTTAAAAACCATTTTCCTGCTTTTTTAAAAGAATATGCTAACTATATTATAAACCCGACCGACATCGACACTTGTGAAAAAGGTTTGAATGTTTTGGTGTATTTTAATAATGCAACTCTAACTTTTAGTTATGTTTATAAACCTACCGCAAACCAATTTTTTGTTGAAGCTGTTAATCTCGCCGGCGCTTTTTGTGAATTTGCTGATGCCGCTCACGTTAGTTATTTTTGTGACTTCATGAAACAAAAGTTTTTAAAATATTATTCCTATATTCCGCATATATATTGATGGAGTATATGGCCCGGGAACCCCCGGCCCACAGACTTCCACTACTCCAATAAAGGCCCAATAGGCCCAGGAAGCACAACAGGCCCAAATCACGGCGCCCAAGGTACCAAGCAGCCCACAATGCGCACCAGGGGTGCCTTCGGGCACCTGGCCGAAGGCTCTGAACCTCACAGAAGGGCCAAAACAGGAAAACAAAGTTACTGGGAAGAACGGCGAAAATCAGTAGCCCTCGGCAACTGGAGCCCTCGACACTAAGGGGGTCCCCGGTACTCAGAGCCCTCGGCTAGTCATCTACAGCCGAGGGCACCTTTTCCGACATAATATCCGCTCCACATGCGTATGGATCACCGTACCCAGTACAACGTCCC